GAAAATTGGCAAGGGGGGGGGGGTTGTTTGGGTTTTTTTGTTCTAGTTTTTGTAAGCAAAGTCTCTTTGAAAGTTGAAAGTTTCTGGTTCTAGGGATAGATATAGTCTTGAACGTAGCATAGAAAATTTGTGTTGGGGCTTTGTTTTGGGAATAAAAGCAGGGAGACCCTCAATACCTATGTAATTCAAATGAAGGAGGAGAAATGGAGCATATCAGAAAAAGGAGAAGGATGTTCAAATAAATTGTTTATGGAGGTTTTCAATGCAGCATTGCCAAGATTTTGTGTTATCTTGATAGTGCAATTACAGTGGAAAAACACCAGCCATTTCAAACAGAAAAGGCAAAACTGCAAACATGTTTCTGATCTGCCAAATGTTGCTTTGATATAATGATTATAAACATGCATGCTGCTTTATTTTTTCTTTTAATTAATGGGAGATCACTCAATGTCTACCATAGTCCTATTGCTAAGATCCTATCAGTATTCCATTAACATGGTGTGTGTGTGTGTGTATCGTGCCCATACCATTTGCTCATGATATTTTAAAGATGAAATGCAAAATACAACATAAGCTATTAACAAATGGACTATACACATGGTCATTGCAGGCCCACTTGTTCTGCAAGTCCACAGCTCTGGAGCTCTATTTCCTCACATCTGTTTATCACTGTTCTTATGCAGTCCCAGTTGCTAAGGCATCTGAATACCTTGTTATTGTTCTTGTCTGAGGTCTCACTTTAGAAATTCCTAACATAATGTGCATTGCCTTTTAAATACAAGATGTCACCATTGAAGTTACTTGTACATTTAACGTTTGGGCAGGTGCTTGGGTAACTTGCTGAAACAGGGTTTGAATAAACATCCAAAGCTTTGCTCTCTCTTACTTCAAGGTCACCCAGAAAGACAAAGAAACTTAGCTCAATATTATCACTCTGTCTTCCTGTGAAATGAAATGATGTGGAGGAAGCAATAACAGTACCACCTGGTATCCTTATTTAAATTTGTTTTGGGGATGGGGAAAGGTTGTGTACACACCCGTACACATTGGTTTATAAAGGTTAACCAATCAGAGGTAGGCATAGATAGATTCCTTTTTTCTTATGCCATATGTGTTTGGATGACCAAGTGATTTCAGAATTATTGGCTTTGACAGTTGAAGGAACATTTAATAACTAAACTTCACATTTTTTCCAAACTTGGTATTAAATGTCAAAGTCTATAAGCTTCATGGTGTGTCTTGTTGCTTCTTCGACAATGAGACCAATACTAGCAAAATCCTAGTCACTTCTGTTTTAAATGGATGCAAGTTCAGTGAAGTAATTTTAAAAATTAAGCAGATTGTGGCATTAAATCAATCCTATAGTTTTTAGAAAGTATTATCCCAAGCACTTGAGTAATTAAAGGGCTCTTAAATGAAACACATGCTGATAAATTAAGTGAATTTTACAAGCTGAATTTGGTAATAGTGTCTTATTAAAGATGCCTATAAAATATACTCCATAAAAAGATAATCGTGGATGCTCAAAAAAAAAAAAAACAAAAAAAGGAACAGTATCCTATTGTAAAAAATATAGAAAATTCTAGTGCCACCTAATGGAGAAAAAAATAGAGCTAAAGTGAGTTATCAAAGCAAATCAGTAGTGACATCTCTCTGAGATGAGAATAGCAAATATTTTTTTTCAATTTGCATAATATTAAAGAAAAATATGATGGGAGCATAATTTTTCATTATAGTATTTAGTTTTTTCTGAGTGGAAAAATATGAAGATATGAATTTTTGCTTTAAATTTGTTCATTTAAAACTCCTTGTCTAACATAAAATCTGTCACTATTATGTGAACCACCAATGGGAGATGATTTGGGATTGGGAGGGGGGAAGGAAGGAGGATGACTTGAATGGAGTCGCATCTAAAATAATCAGGCTGGTCTTAAATAGAAGTTTCTGTTTAACTTTATCCCAGTTTATATTTTAAACAGAACAGGTCAGGTTTTCAACTAGCGTAATTTAGTATTGTTTCATTAATGTCAGTTTATATAGCTAGGAACTGACTTGTTACTGAAAAGCAACATTTGACATTTTCATTGCATTTGGATTTAAAAAAAAAAGCTCTTGTTTGGGAATCCTGACTTGGCAGATTTCAAAACAGAATCGTAGATAAACAAAACTTTCTGCAGTGAGGAAAGATGAGGAGGAAGCCTGTATCTAGAATATGTGCAGCATAGTGACAATCCTCTTGCAGGCATAGAGAGGATTCGGCTCTTCATAGCAGTGATTGGGTACTAGAGTGGCTCAGGCAGAGCAAGTGCAATAGCAATGTAGAGATGGAATGAAGCAACTGCAAGAGACAGAAGAACAGACAAAAGAGAGTAAAATATAGTCTTGATTGTATAAACTCAGTGTTCCTTTTTAATTCCCGAATTCTTGCATCGTTCAAATGACCTTCAAACATGGGTGGGGTCTTCCTAAAAATGTTTGTGATTACTTTGAGAGGCCTATGAAAGGCCTGCTATCTTCATTTAGCTTAAAGTTCTGCTGTAACTAGGGACCTACTTAATTTGAAGTTTTGCAGATTTTTTGGAAACTGCAAAATCTGGGATTGTCTGCAAAATCAACAAAATAAAACTTAATAAAAATGCTGCTTCCCAGTAGGAGGCAGTAGTTCTTGCTGCTGGGAGGGGAAGGTGCCAGCTGGCAGGGCAACATGAAGATGATGGCTGCTCCCTCTTTCCTCTTGCTCCCCCCATTGGGGCCTTTTCACCAGTCAGCACCAAGGGGCTGGGTGGCATAAAGGGCAGCCAGCAGTTGAGATAATGACCACCTCCCCACCCGGGGCCTCTCCACCAATCAGCACCTAGGGGCAGGGCTGTCACTAAATCGTCTCTGTGCCACGAGCACCCTATGAGAAACCCTTTGTTTCACCATGATTTAAGCAGGTCCCTAACTATAACTGAGCTGGGGTCAATTCCTATGTCCATTTTGGTAAGACCAAGATTTCACCTTTGGCATATGAAATTCCACAGGTACAGAATTTTCTGAGCCCATCTGTTGTGCAGAACTGTGCTGCAAGATCTAAACTCACATTGCATATATTTGTAGCTTTGTATTACATGGGTGGGGGATATAAGCTGTTCAGACTCAGGAGGGCTTCAATCAGTATTGTTGGCAGACAGATTGAAATAAGACTTAAAGGTCTTGCCTCCTCTTCTTTACCCCCATGGGAGGCAACAATTGCAACCTAATGATGGGGAATTTGAATGCTAATATCATCCATTTGATCATTCACTTTGACCAGAGGACACCTAGCTAGCATGCTCATTTTGCTCTAGAACAGCATTTCTCAACCTGTGGGTTGTGACCTAAAAGTGGATTGCAAAAATATAGTAAAAGGTTGCGAACAAACTTTAAAAAAAAGAATCCATTTTTAAAGTAGAAAACCATGGGAAACTATGGCTTTTCTTTTGCAGGCTGGCAGAGTTCCAGGGGCTGTTTGGTGGGGCCTCCATACCACCCTGCCGCACCTGGGGGCAGGGGGCACTGGTCGGGACTAACCATTGATGTTTACAAATGGATCCTGGTACAAAAAAGGCTGAGAACTACTGCTCTAGAAGGTGCTTGGGAGTGTTTTAGGTTTATGTTTAGGAAATACTTAAACACAGGCTTAAGTACAACAGAAGTCAGTGGACTTCCTTTTAAAAGGGGATGGGGAACTTGCTTTTTTTTCCCCCTTTGGTACTGACATAAGAACTTGTTAGAAATATTAATCTGGGCAAAATAAAATGAATAAAACTTTTACCTATAGTTACTAATTTTGTTTCTGAATTCTCTGGATGTCTGATTTGGGAGTTTAAGTTCTGACTTGCAAGAGTACAAGTACTTGGCTGTGACTGAAGTGAATGAGGATTACAATTTGAAATGTAATGGGAAGCATTGCAAAAAGTCTAGGTGCTAGCATCTCAGATTGGGCGCTCAGAAGTACGAAATGTTCTATTTAAATTTTTCTTTGTGCTTCTAGTTTCTCACCTGTCCAGTAGGAACACTGGAACCCTCTCAGGTTACAGGGGCACAGTAAATCAAATAATTTTATATTTGTGAAGCTGTTAAATACTCTGGTGAGGAATCCCATAGAAAGTATACAAGGAAACCATATTCTGAAGAGTATTATCTTGACTAGATTGAATTGAAAAATGCATGGGGTCTCACTCTGAACAGTAAGAAGAAAACATGTACTAAATTGATAATCAGTGGGTACCACCCATTCTGTGTACTGAATGAGGCTGGGATCCTATGAAAATAGTATATGATCATGTAAACACTGTTTAATAATGCCTGCACACAGGATGGTATAAAGCAGACAACCTTAACTCTGTGTTCCATAATTTTTAGTGTAATATGTTAAGGCTTAAAAGTCAGACCCCAGAATGGGGAGCAGGAACAGATCCACTGGAATTATCTTGCTATTGTTTCTGAAGTGTCACTTTGAGTCTTAGTTTTGACTTATGAAAAAAAAAAAACCTGTTCACAGTGGAGTCAGTTGGAAATGTAGTACCTGGTCATTTTGGCCTTCAGGCTAGGTTGTGAGGGCTGGAGAAGCCATTAGGGGCAGCTGGATATGCTGCTTATTCTCTCACTCTTGGTGCTTTTGACCTAACGGCATGCCATTCTACACAGGCTCAATCATCCATGTCCATCGACTTTAAGTGGGACTTCGAGTCGGTTACCAAAGTAGCTCTAAGTTACTGAGGTCCTTTATTTCTACAAGCATGGTGTATTCTATAATGGCAGATCCAGAATCATATATATGGATTGTGTGTGTGTCTTGTGTTCAGCTCTGGTAAGAACAGCAAAAAAATCTCGTAACTACTGTTGTTAAACTGTTACATGATTTCACAGTGAACAAGTGCATCATTAATGTATATAGTCTGTGAAATTGTAATTTAAAAATGATTCAAGATAAACTTGGAAAAAAAATAATTTTTATTCTAAATGTTTTTCCCTAGGAAAGTAATTGATGATCAGAGATGGTCTGAATCTCTGCCAGCGATACAAATCACTGCATAGGCTGCTCTCAGGTGTGAAATTGGTCAGTACATTCAAGGCCTATTCTGCTTAAAATATTGAGCACTAAATATATTTCCACCTAGGTGTAAAATTTGAATAATAGCACCATGTTACCTTCCTGTTACTTTTCAAGGTTTATCATAGATTGTATTAACTTGCACTTAGGACTCCAATAATGCATGTATGAAATAGATAAATTTACTGAATTCCTTTCTCTCTTCCCCCCCCCCCTCCCCCCCCACATTTTTTAAGCTACATTTTTATGGAAGTTTCTTTTTGCACTGTGAGGGTAACTTACACTTTGGTGAAGGTAATTGCAGTGTTACAGACCTATATTAAAAGATATGTACTGACAATTTGAAAAATAAAACAAAACAGATCTGCCTCTGGATCATAGCAGTTTCAAATCCCCCAACACAGTATGGAAGAACCAGTGTGTGTATAGAAAGCAAATATGGCTCAATTTCTGTTTTTAGTGGGTCTGTGGTATATGAAACATGATGGTTGTCTTCTATAGGGTGCACTAAGGTTCCAGTTGAGATCAAGGTCCCATTCTTTTGGGTGCTATAAAGACCCCTAATTGGACACCATCTTAGTCCAAAACAACTTCCAGACTAAATAGATGAGAAAAATTATAGAGGGGACATATTCCTAATTTGCAGATGAGTAATTGAGACAAATGGAGATTTAAATCCTTTTATCAAAAGCCTATATAGAGACCCTAGAAGAGCTGGGAATTGAACTTCAGTGTCTTGAGCTCCGGTTCAGACCAACCAAAATCTGACTTTGGCATTTTACAGGAATTGGCTAGGGACAGAAGTTAAGGGGTAAGAAACCAGTTCAGATCTGTAACAACAGAAGTTCAATGCGCACAAACTGTTTTCAAAATAGCTAAAACTGGTTTAAAATAAGCCTGGATTGATGTAGTATCAGACTCAACTGATTTAGGTTAAATTTGTTTTTAAACTTCTGTTCCAGATCCCCTCCAGATCCAAGTTAACTCACAGTCCCTCAGCATCCCAGAATGCTTTGCATCTCCCCTGCAAACTCCCCCTTACAGTGGGCTAGCCTTGGCCTAAGCTGTCTGCTCTAGTTGAGCAGGGGAGTGTGCTCTAACACCCTCCACCCCCCTGGGTTTTGGCCTGGGCCCTGCGGGCATTTCCAGAATCGAATGTGAATGTCTGTTTACTTGCTTATCGGTTCAATGTATGCAGCTTAGACTAACCTGCAGAGTTAGAAGATTGAATCAATTCAGCCTTGGGTGTTTTGACTGTCTGTACTTAGCCATTCAGTTTGTCCTGGGAGAGCTGGGACGCTCCCAGAAGAAATTATAAGTGTACAGCTGTTCAGGCTTTTTCTCCTACAGTAAAAAATGGTAATTCCAGGAGAAAAATAATTTGGGACTAATCCAGGTTAAACCATTCCCATGAGGGTAAATGTCGTACATGCTGTGGCTTCTCTCAGAAGAGAACATTGTCCTTCAGGATCCCCTCTCCCCCTCCCCCTGCAGGGAGACAAGGTGTTGCTTGCTGGACTCTGCTGCTCCAGCAGGAAGCAGAACACTCCCCTTTCACAATCCCCACATTGTGCTGCAGGGAAACACAGGCTGACTGTGGGCAATCTGGGTCAGCTAATCAGGGCTTCCTATACACTGTTGCCATCTGTTGCCAGGCAGACTAAGTCAGATTGCCTGGCAACAATCAGAGCAAGCTGAGATGTGCAGCATCCCCCCACCCCCTCAGCTGCACAGTGCCAGCACAGTATGTTCTCCACTGTAAACAGGGCTCTGGTTATGTTTTCCTTTACCAGAAGATCAAGCATGGGGGAATTCTCTCAGATGAGTTTGAATGTGTGTATGTAGTCTTTATTTTTCTGATTGGTTTGTTATTTAACTTCTTTGCCTGGGCCTTTAAAAAATTAAAAATAATACCTATACTCCTCTGAAATGGAGATCCCCATCACTTTTTATGGGGGTCTCACAAGGAGTTTGCTTTTTCATACGTTGAGCCTCAAGGTATTCTCCTGGAGTGCAATGCCATGAATCTCCTACTCCTAGTAAGGGCCTTGGCTACTATCCCATTCTCATGTATCTAACAGTCCTTGCTCAACCAATGTGACTGGGTTCTTCTGTGCTACTCCCCCTTGAGACTTCTTGGCCAATGATGTATGTAGCAATTGGCCTTGTTTTTTAACAGCAGGAGCAAAGCATTTAGACTAAAGAAGAATTTCAGTAGCTGACTTGTACCTACTTGGCCCAACAGTTTGCCATCTGCAGGTTCTGAGACAGGCCCAACTTCAGAAATGAGTGGGTGCCTCTTTCAAGAGAATTGGATCCCTCCATAATCCTGATGGGTTCCTTTTCTTAGCTCACTAAGTTGGATGAGGCAGCAAAGCTTGTCAAAGCTAATGAGGCTTTGATAAATCCACTTGTGAAAGCTAATGAGGCCTGCACTATCTCTTAATAAAGGGTTGGCTTATCTTAAACCATTGCATCTCTTCAGGCTTGTTTTCCTTATAGCTGCCCCTTGTTAAAGCAACATTTTGTGGAAATATTTATACATTCCTTTAGCCCTGAGGATGCAGGGCCAGTCTGCAGGGCAAAGTAGGCCAAACTAGGCCTGTAGACCAGCCTCACATGCTGGATCTAACATGCAGGGGTCAGTTTGATGTGGGGACTTCATGTAGCATGCCAGTGGCAGCTGGTCAATAAGGATCAGTCAGGTGCTGCCCCACCAGTTTCAAAACAACATGATCAATGATGTCATGATTATGCTGGTCCAATCCACTAGGCATATGTGCAGTAAGGCACCTTGGGGCAATCTCCTTACTGTCCCAGTGGCACATGAGCAGTGGAAACACTTGACCAGTTTAAATGGATTGCAATAGCTACTTGCTTAAGTGGGAAGTGGGGCACCTATACTGACTCCCCAGCCTGGATAAAGAGCTGTTGGGAGGAAGGAGGAAAGATGGGGGGTGCCATGTGCAGAAACATGCACTGGCCCCAGGCAGCCTGCAGATCAGCTCCATCAGGTAAGTGGTGGAAAGGGCGATTGAGGCCCCTGTAGGGAGCGGATTGGGGCTGGGGCCACAGTGCGTGGCTGCAGGGCCCCAGTAGGTAGCAGGACAGGGCTGCGGATGGCTTGTCCAGGGGAGGGGGAGGGCCGGTTCCTTGTTGCCACATGCACTCCCAGGGGCAGGAGGGACCCTGTACCCAGGGCAGGCACAGGCTGTGGGCCTCAGCTCCCATCCCGCTTCCCTTCCCCAGGGCTTCCGGATCTAGCAGGTGCAACCCGGCACGGCTGGGCACAGCAGGGCCATGCAGGGATTCCTTGTTGCTGCTTGCCCTCTTTGCTGCCCAGGTGATCTGCCTATGGCGCCTGTCGCTGCTTTTGAGGAGCACAGCCCCGTGCTACTGCCCTCACTGCAGCCCCCAAGCAGGGTCATGTTGCCAGGGCAGCGGCAGGGCGAGAAGTGGAGAGAAGGAAGTTTTCCTCTCAGCTCCTCTGCTCCATGTAGCACCAGATCATGGGGGTAGAAGCAAGGTGGCGGGCCACTCCCAGTGTGACACTCCACCCACCCTATGCATCTCAGTTCACCATCCATGCCTGTAGCATGCCCTACCCCTGGCCCAGTGTGCAGTGTGTGCCAGACAAGTTCCTCACACTGCCTGTAGCATGTGAGGCCAGTCCAGCATGCACCATATGCAACATACTGGTCCAGCTGGAGACTTGTGGGCAGCACCACATTCTGGATCTGGCCCATGGGCCATACCTTTGACACCCCTTTTATATGCCATAAGCAAAATGTCCTCTTTTTAGCTGAACATTTTAAAGTCTCTTCTTGTAATGGGTTTCTCTAACAATTGAGTAATTTTTGTGGCTTTATTCCTACAGTTTCCAATTTTCAACTTTCTTAGTAAACTAGGGATGCCAGAAATGGGCATACCATTCCAGTATGTGACTTACCAGTGCTATATTTTAAGAAGCTTCCTGATGTAGAGATAAGCAAGTAGCATGGAGGAGACTTGCACTTTTTCAGTTCTCGGCATTACATTGAACATCCATGCTCCATTTTTCATCTACTGTGATCAATTAAATTTATTTTCAGTATTGCTGCTTCTAGTTTGCAATACCTTTTTCCAGAGCTATCCAACTGGCACCATGTGGCTGCATACAGCCCAGAAGGGTTTCACTTGTGGCCCCTGTGCCTCCAGTCTGGGCACGGCTCCTCCTGCCACTCT